TGTGTACACACACACACACATAAATACCCACAATCAGAATAAAGCGTGTCCTTCAGAAGGTGCCTGGACAAATAAGCTGTGGTGCATGCAGGCAGCAGACCGTGTTTCAATGCTAAGAAGAAACGCGCCATGAAAGACCGGGGAAAAGCTTAAATGTCACTGAGTGAAAGAACCGCACGAGCCCAACTGGACGACACCGTGACAAAGGCGGCACTCTGGACAGTGAGAGGATCAGTGGTTGCCAGGGCTTCGGGAGGGCAGGGAGGGTCGAACAGGGGGAACACAGGGCAGTTTGGGGGTACTGACACCATGAGAGTGGACACAGGTCACCGTACGTGTGCCAACACCACACGGCCTACACAGCAACAGTGAGGCGGGGTAAGCTATGGGCTCTGGCTATAACCACGGGTCAGGCTGACTGAGGCACCGGTCTGCTGGGGATGCTCCCTGCGGGAGGCTGGGCCGTGGGGGAGCAGGGGCAATCTCTGTTTTGCTGTGAACCTGACGCTGCTGTAAAAAACACAGTGTTTAAGAACAAGTAAACAAATAAATAAAACACACACCCACACACCAAAACAATTGAGCACAAAACAACACACAGAACCCTCCAAGTACACAGTGTGTTGCAGAATGACAATGGCGGATTCCTGAGGGGGTCCTCACAGCTGTCACTCAGTAATTTAGGAAACAGATCAGTTGTGGCTAATTTGCTGTATGCACACCTGTAACCTGGTTTTCACTATGCTACGCATAAGCCACTGTCTGTCCCTGCTCGAAGCCGTTCTAAGTGCACTGCTCTTGAGAGCTGTCATCACTCCTAGGGCAGACACAACAAGGCCGCATCTCGTAGCCCTGCGACCTGCTCTCCCGTGTGGTCAGTTTCAAGTCACAGGGCCCCCACCCGAGGGGTGACTTCCTGTGTCAGTTGTACAGCTCCCCAGTGGAGCTGCAGTCCCATTCCTGGTTTCCCTGCTTAAACGGCTAAGGGTCAGAGGTCTGTAGGGGCACACGGAGAGGACGAGGCATTTAAAGAGGACGCTGACTTCCGGGCGGGCCACACTGCCCACCCCCCCCACTCCCCCCACCCCCGAACAGGAAGCTTCGGGCCATAGAGAACAATTCTCCAACAAGCCTGAGAGGCCATCGTGACTTCAAGTGCCTGCAAGTGCTCTCAAGGTCAGCGAAGCCAGCACTCATCCCGCGAACAAAGAAAGTGAGGGAGGAGCCAGGCTGCCACGTGTGCTCCGCCGCTCACGTGCACCGCCTGGGGTCACAAGACAGTGCCGGGATCCGGTGTCACCGCAGGGTGACTCCTGGAGCTCCAGGCAAATGAGTGTGTGCGTGATTTACTAGAGCGAGGAGCACTCCAACACCGTTCCCAAACCTCCCAGGAGAGAACGCCGCACAGAAGGGGCCCAGGGCAAGACTGGGTCAGTCATTTGTGGAAGACGATGCAAACGAAAATGCCAGGTCCCTTGTTAAAAAGTCCCTGGAAATCATGTCAGTCACAGGAGGGAATGGAAACCAAGTCACAGGGACTGTGACTGTCACAAAGCAGATTCTCAGTCCTTGCAGACTGAAGCAGACTGAAGGGCTCGCTTTGGCACTGCATGGCCTCAAACCCTTTCCCAGTCAGATACCACCACAGCGATCAGGTTTCTCCCCGTTCCCTTGGTAACAACACACTGTGGTTAGTATTTTCAAGGATCACGCCTAAAACAGACAAGAAACAGTCAGACAGACAGACAGAAAGAAGCAAGAAACAGAGGAACTAGTTCTCCTGTCTGTATTACTGTAGGTATTGCTAGAGGACAGCATTACTGTTAATGTCCTGTTGAGTGCTATTTATTTTCTCAAATTTTCCTTATTTTCTGTATTTGAAATACAAATGAAGAGAGACAGAAAGACAGACGACACAGAGAGACTCTGTGCATAGCTGGTTTACTCCCCACTGACCGCAACAGCTGAGGAAGGACCACGCTGAGGCCAGGGGCCAGGAACTCCATCCATGTCTCCTGTGTGGGCGCCCGCAGCCCAGTCACTTGAGTCATCCCTGCTGCTCCCCAGGGTGCATACTAATAGGGAGCTGGAATTGCGAGGATCTGGAACCCGACGCAGGAACTCTGATAAGGGTGTGCATGTCCAGATGGTATCTTAACTGCTGTGCCAAATGCTCACCCCCTGCTGAATTTTGTCTTTCATTTCTACAGTGTGCAACCTGATCTCTGATTCTTGGTTGTAAAACCAATAGTTTTGCTAATGGGCTTGAAAGGAATCACCATGGCAAAGACAAGAGTAATGTGACCATCCGAACAGCCAGTGGAGGAGGGGCCACATCCACACAGGTGCCTCAGAGGGCACGAGAAGCACACTTTTCCCCCAAACTCTTCCTTGCAGTCCTAGAAGTGAGCTAAAGAAAGAGGGCAAGCCTCCCTTTACCATCTGGGGAGTGTCTCCACTCCACACCAGCAAGCCACAGTCACTGCTTACGTTACCAAACTGAATGATTTCGATAAATGGCAAAACACCCTCTTCATTTAGATAAACAGAGAAATAGAGAGGAAATAAAAATTTCTGTGATTTATAATTCCCGTTTCAAAAGCAAGTGATAAGAGTGGCTGATTCATGCTGAAAGGGAGACAGAGGCACGGAGGAGAGCCATGGTGCCTGTCTATTGATTGTAAGCCAAGGAGAGAGGAAGAGGAGGGGGAGAAGAAAGGGAAGGGGGGAAGAAGGAGGAGGAGGAGGGGGACAGGAGGCTGTGCCTGGCGCTGGCTGGGGAACTGCTGACGCCGTGTTTAGCTGGGATGCCCCGTCAGATCACCTTGCCACAGCAGGAGACTGCTGGACCCCCACTACCCAGCCCCCTGCAGCGACGACTCAGGGGGACCCCAGCTGGCTAAGGACCCAGGGGCTTGACCGTCATCCAGCTGTGGGGGCCCTGTCCCTGCCCAGGATACAGATGGGGAGCCAGGCTGCCCAGCAGCACAGAAGGGCCACTTTTCCACATGGATTGCAAGTGAGAGGAGGTGGATTAAAATGTCTGAAAGGACCCACTCCCCAGTCCTTTGGGACCCTCTTCAAGGCCAGCGTGGACCGGCCAATCCTGCTGGCCCGCACCCTGCCGTTCACTGGGCCAGAGCGGCACCATGGGGAAGGGCGGGCCCTCTGCACGCGCTCAGCTTGCAGCGGCCGTGGCTTGGAAAGGCTGTGGAAGCACAAGGGACCCCGGGTCTGACAAGAGAGGCAAAGCTGTCTCTGTTGGAAACACAGAACTTGAGTTTGCTGCCCACTTAGTCGGGAACAAATCGTCAGCATCCTGGATAACAAGGACCTCTATCTCACATTTCATAGGAAAAACAAGGCCATATTTTAAGTGAAAATCTATTCTCCCATCTCGACTGCTAAAAGGAAATAAGAAAATAATCCACAAGAGTTGGCGTGCATAATGTAGCCTCAGTGTTCCGTGTTTTGTTCTTGTAATTTTGCTTTGCAGGCTAAATTGATAACTGATGTGAATTTGCTTCTCCCTTTACAGTAAAAATAAAAACAGCCAGTATGTAGAGAGCGCTCATCACATCTAAGAGCTTTCTGGGCCTTATCTCAGTGAGCCCGTACTCCACCCAGTGAGACAGGTACTGCCATCACCCAGGGCACAGCAGGTGCAGAGCTGCCGCCCACGTGCCTGGCTCACCCTCAAACCCACCAACACAAGCTGCCCCAGCTGAGCAGCTCCACCCAAAGGGCTCCTGGAGCAACAGAGCTGCGGCAGGGACCTGGGATGTCCAGCAGAGAAACCCAGCGAGCCCTACTCCTTCTCAGCCCTGCTGCCTGACGGCAGCGTGACAGGAACAGGCAGAGGCCACCTTCGTCCTCCTCAAGAATCTCCCGGCCAGGAAGCCACGGCCTTGGGCCCCTGGGAAGGTTCTGCATGGACCCTGAGGTTGTCTTTCAGAGGCCAGCACATAAATTCTGATTTGTGGGATAGAAACAACAGCGAGCCAGGTGCCAGGGAGTTCGCTGGGCTTTCCCAGGTGGATCTGGGGTAGGCTCAGCCTAATGTTTCCTCTATGCTGTCGGGATGTACTGTTGCAACTCCTCCTAGAATCACCTTTTGACACTGAACTGTGCCTTTTCTCTCAGCACACCGATTGGCAGAGTATCCAGTGTTGGGCTCTGGAGGTACCAGCCCATGCAACGGGGCCTGTGTGCCGGTTCTGGGGACCTCTGTGATCAAGGTGCGCTGATTATCCTGAGTGAGGTGTCTCGCGGCCTTGGGCAGGCTGACGGGTCTTACCGGGTAGAAAGTCCTCCTGAAATACGCTGTCTCGGCAATTCCCACCACCCTCTGTGATGGGTGCATGGGTGCCCATGCAAACAGGGACGACGGAAACAAGGCCCGAGTGGGCCAATGGCTTCTGAGGGCAGGGCAGGACCATGCTCCCTCTGAGGGCCCCTGCCACCCTGCATCGCAGAGGACCCCCAAGTGTGTCTAGCAACATGCATGCGACAGGACTGTGGGCAGGACAGGGATGACCAGAGCTGTGGCTTTCTGGGGCTCTGTCGTGCACACAGGCATGTGTGCAAGGCACTGCTGTGATCCAGGTTCCCCTATGAACTGGTTCCTCTTGGGCCTGAGTCCTTCTTGCACATTTCATTCTCAAAGCGAACAATAGTGAATGGGCCAGAGGTTACGAGAGGATGTGCTACCATCTAATGTGCTACCAGTGTGTGATCACTCGTGCCAGCCCGCCAGGGCTCAAGAGAAAACGAAACCAACAGGATGCCAGTCCAAGGTTCCCCTGGAGCAGTGAGAATCTAGGCTCTCTGCAGCCCAAATACACACTTTTGGTCCCTGTCCAGGTGGCTCTTTGCTGTTTCCAATTGCATCGTGGTCACTAGCACTTCTCGTTCTCCAAACTCGGGGCTCAAAGACTCAACGAATACACTGAAGACCTGAGAAAGCTGTCAGGACGAACAGGACGACGTCCTCCTCTTACCTGGGAGGGCAGGCAGAGACTTGGCAGGACACCAGCCCTGTGGCAGGTCGAGTCTGGGGGTCGCAGAAGGACGCATTCACCTGGACTCGCAGGTCTCGGTAGCAGCCTCCCCTCGTGGTCATCTGGCCTGTGGGAAAGGGGGCAAGGCATCATGAAGACTCAGAAACGTGCCCGTGGAGAAAGGCAGATGAAAGACTAGGAAAACCTCTTTGCAAAACGTCTTAAGCGTTGGTGCATATTTTCGCGTTAATGACCAACTGGCCAACTGTGACACTTTACTTTCCTGATTTGTAGGTGCGATTTTTAACTAGCGAATTCCATCAGTTCTAAGAGGCACACACTGCTCTCCACCCTCACCCCCATTTTAGCATCTTTAAAATCAACGTGGGTCCTGCACTGAGGCCATTCACGTACTTGATAAAGTATGCCAGCCGCATCACAGAATGGAATACCACCCGATTTTCAAAAGAAACCCCAATATTAAAGGGACCTGCCCTGTGTTTCCATTTGAGAGGTATCAGCAGGAAACAACTAGTGATAAGTCATCAAGAAGTATAAGAAACAACAAGAATAACACCGTCAGACCGTTCATATGGCACTCTGAGTGGATCTTCCCAGTCCCACTTAGACATCGTAATAAACAGTCAGTGGGGATGGAGTAGACATGATATTCAGCTCTCATGTTCATCCCAAGTGCTGTTCCAGGCTCTGTGACAAGTCCCTAAGTGAGCTCACTATTTCAATGAATCACATTTACCACCAGAGGAAGAGATATAAGGAAGAGTCAGATTCAGCGACAGAAAGTTGAGTGGAGGTCGTCAGGGGCTGGGGTAGGGGGAATGGGGGTTAGTATTTAATACGAGTTTCATTTTGTAAGATGAACATGTTCTGGGATGCATGGTGGTGACAGCTGTACAAGGTGAGCGTGCTTAATGCCACTGAGCTGCACACTCACAAAGCGGCTAAAAATGGCAAAATGTACGCACTCTGCATTTTTAATAATAATACACATTTTGGAGGATGGCATTAAAGACTACACTCAGTATAGAGGACAAAAACGAAGAAGCAGCAGCGGGCTCGTGATGGACGCAGGTGAGCACAGCCGGGCTGGTGCGGTGCCAGCACCCATGGGAGCGCCAGTTTGAGTCCTGGCTGGGTGGATGAGCGATCTCTCTCTCTCTCTCTCTCCCTCTCCCTCTCCCTCTCTCTCTCCCTCTCCTCTATCTCTTTCAAATGAATAAATAAATCTTAATAAAATAAAATGAGCACAGCTAAATATTTAAGGTTGGGAAATTATTTCAACAGCACACTTGGGAAAATGGACCAACACCATTTGTATGGACCCCCGTCCTGCTGCAGACTGACTTCCGCTGTGTGCTGTCCACCATCAGGGCTGAACTTTCTACCTGCAATGCTGGCCTTGCCTTGCCTGGCAGATTTCCTTTCGTCCCTTTAAATCAGATCCAAATCCCCCTTCTCCGAATTCTGGCAGTCAGTGCCTCTCAAACCTGAGTGTGCATCGGATTCCCGGGAGGACTCATTCTTGAGAATCCAGGCTCCCAGCCCCAGCCTAGAGTTTCTAGTCCGGGTGGTCTGGGGTGAGGCCGCACATTCTTTAGAGTTCTAACAAATGCCAAGGCACCCCGACGTGCTGCCCACACTCTAAAGAAGCACAGCTGTAGACAGAATTAAAAGCCAAGACTTTTATGTCCTAGTGTACCCAGGTGTGACAGAAGACACACAGCTCCTAAAACCTTTGGCCTCTACAAAGTACAGGAGTATCTTTGTATGCCAATGAGGTGACAGGCAGTGTTGGTGGCTGGCCACCAGGAAGACCCAGGCAGGACTGGAAGGCTGGAACGCTGAGACTCATGTCCCTCCCTAACCTCACCACCTTCCCGGAGGGGAGGGCCGAGGGTCAGCGAGCACGCCTACAGCATTAACCCACAGGCAGGAAGAGCTGGTGAACACAGCAAGTGCCGGCAGAGTGGCACGTCTCATTCCGAGGGTCAGAAGCCCTGTTCTCCGGCCCCTCAGGACCCGCAGCCCTGTGTGCCTCCACCTGACCTGGTGATCTGCATCCTTTACAACAAACCTGCAACGGGAAATAAAGGGGCTCCTTCCGTCCTGGAGCCACTCTGGCCAACTGCTGAATCTGCTGCAAGTGTGGGGGCTCTGGGGACCCAGTGCTGCTGACCAGCACCTGAAGTGGCAGCAGTTCGGGGAATGAAGCCCTCCCCGCTGTGGTCTGATAACTCTGAGTGGGGAGTGACAGGCTGGAGTTCTGCTGCAGGACTCCCACCTGGCACCCAGAAGGTTGGAGGATGGATCACACATTCACTGTTGTAAGTTCAAACACTTAATCCCAGGCCAGAAAATATCAGGCTTATGATCTTTTGGGAAAATGATAATAGTAGAATCTTTCCTCTCAAGCAGCCCAGGCTGAGTAATGTACGACATGACGACTCCAATTACAAGGACTGCTGATCAGGACTGTGTCATCGCTGGAACAGCTTCCTGGAGGGTGGAGAACACACGCTGTCCTTGCTCTAATTTCAGTAGCTTGCATGGATCAATTTGTTCTTTCACTCATTAAGTAATTTTTGAGCCATGGAGCAATTTTTTCTTTTTTTTTTTGTTCAGTAACTTCTAAGCTCTTATAAGTTAAGAGCAGGTTAACTAATACTTAGCCAAAAAAGCCATCCAAGTAGGAGTACATAAAAATACGTTAGTTTTGGACTTTACTAAGATGAACTGGGGCAGAGTACTGATGACTTGCCCATGTATCAATGCTGAGATTTTTGACTCGTTAACCAGGAATGAGAGACCATTAAATTAGAAAAAGAAATGCATTTTCAAAACTTCTGCAGAGAATCTTGTGGACTCCTGAAGTCTAATAATCCTAACTACCCGATTTAAATGAGAAACTTTCTGAGTAACTGTACAATGGCTAAGATCTCTCTAATGAAGATGGGAAGAAAATTTTTCCTCTATTTGTATTTCAAGTTCAAAGCTCATGTTTTATCCTTTTAACTGAATTCTTAGGGCATTTTAGGAGGTGTGATTCTACAAATAACAACTTTAGTTTGGTTTCCTGTTTTGAAATTAAAAACATGTGGATTTCAAACCTTCTGTCCAAGTCTCAACTAAGAATCATGGCTTCACCATCACTTATTATTCTACACAAGGGATAGCCTCTTAACTAAATAAATAAGAAATTAGATTTGCTTTGGAACAGAAACAATTTGATTGTTTTAATGTAATAAATTTTCTTTGTTATTGGAGATACTTGTTTGGATCCATTCTTGACCTGTCTCAGGATCATCCAAGTCCTGTGTCCAAAGCCCAGAGTTTTTACCTGTTAATTGGATAAGGAGGAAATCAGGTGAAGCAATTTTCACAAACGTGTATATGTACATCTGTGTATACACACATATATGTCCGTGGGACATGAACTAGCACCCACGTGGGATGCTGGTACCATGGATGGAAGCTTAGGCCACTACACCACAGCGCTGGCCCCTGCCAGTAACTTTTAAAGTGGGCCTCTGAAGAACTTTCCCCCTTAATGGGCCACTATAGGCATTTAGGCCATGACATTCTTTGTCCTGCCGTATAGTCACATGTGTTACAAGAGTTTCCGCATCCCTGGTGTCAGTCATATCCCACCCCAGTCATCGTGATGGCTCCCACACCTCCACGGGTTTTCGTACATCCTGTACAAGCGACTGTAAAGTCTTTTTTATAGTCTGTAAACAGATAAGCAAGAGAGTATAAGATTGGAAAGGAAAGATTAGAATGTATTCTCTTAGAAGTTTTAGCAATTGAAGGATATGAAGCAAAAAAAAAAAAAAAGAGGGAGGTTAGCAGGTTCAAAACAAAATTTACTTACGGAAACAATGATGAAAATACTGCAAAACAGAATTTGTGGAAAGCAGCTAAAGCAATATGCAGAGGACAATCCAGGATCTTAAACGCTTACACTGATAGGTGAGTAAGGATAGAAGTAAAGGAACCAGGTATCTAATTAGGATGTTAGAAAAGGACGGCCCCAGGAAGCAGAATGGAAAGAGAAGTCAGTGTGTTAGAAAATGAACAACACGGAAACCACCTGTGCACGCGCCTTTGGCAGGCTCTGTCCTGGATCTCAGGGTTATGGAGCACCGCACTTCCTGAACCCCGTGCCTGTGACCTGCTGGCGCCAACGAGAGGCGTCGGCAGCAGATGCTGTGGCCACAGTGAGGACGCACGGGCTCGGACAGATCTGCTGACCTGTAGTTTTGTCTCCAGGCGTTTTCCTAGGAATCACCAGCCCAGCGCTGACTGAGCTGGCCTCGTCACTGGGAATTTCTGAAGTTTTTTGTAATTCCCAGACTTGTTAAAAGTCAGAGTGACTCTGAGAGCCACAGCATCCGTCCGTCTGACCTCCACTCTTAGGACTACTCTGTAAGCAACAGCTCCTCTGCACTACAACGCCTCCTGCTTGAAGCACCCGAGTGGTGTGTTTGCCTGGCTAAGCTGTCCCTGATTTCCCCATTCAATACAAAACTTAAGAAATGGGAATTAGACAATACTCACATGCAGAAAAACGAAAATAATCTAATGGAGTTCTCCAAACACATAAAATAAAATTTTAAATCCTACAGAAAAAATGTGTTTCTTAATTAGAAAAACCAACTCCAAAAAAGATAAGCAAACTAAAGCAATCCAGTTGTCACACATAATATAAACATTCATTGGAGATCTAACTCTGCAAGCGGCAGATCCAGATGCTTCAAGTAAATTCTGCCCAATGCTAAGAAACAGGCAGCAGGAAAGCTAGTTAAGCCATTCTAGAGCATGAACACCAAAAGACATTGAGGACATCTCAGCACACAAAAGAAAGCTACAACTCAATAATACTGAAGAGTACTACTGTGAAAAATACTCAAAACACAGGGTCAAGAGTACCCTGTAAAAAGGTGTGTGTGTGCCGGCGCTGCTGCTCAATAGGCTAATCCTCCGCCTTGCGGTGCCAGCACACCGGGTTCTAGTCCCAGTCGGGGCACCGGATTCTGTCCCGGTTGCCCCTCTTCCAGGCCAGCTCTCTGCTGCGGCCAGGGAGTGCAGTGGAGGATGGCCCAAGTG